GTAAAATTCAATTTAATCGATAAATCAACTCGTAATCGTTTCATAAGATCCTCCGTGACTTCGTGCAAGTCCCAGTTCTAGCAAGTTTGTGAATCAATTTGCCGACGACTTGATTGTTCCCAACTCCGATAGCCACCGGCCTAGCTTGGTTTTTATTACAATGATACAAAACCTCTCTAGCGTGTTAGCGTAGAAGCAGAACACAGTGCGACTCGCAACTAATGATGGATACGTAAACGACTACTTGTAAGAGCAGGGTAGCAGGGGTACAGCTTCGGATTTCTGTCGGTGCAATAGACGGTATAACGTGCGAGCTTACCGGCTCTGTCGGTAACTATGTGCGCATGACCGCTGGTTTTCCCAAAAGACTAGCACAAATCAACGATGCGGCCTACTGTCCATGCAATAGGTACTTGAGGTCACCGCTGCATAGCCTGTAGGATCAGGTACATGCCACCGAGGCATCGCCGAGGACCTAGGTACTCTGGGCCTGGGCCATCACAACACCTCTCCACTAGACCAGAAGCTCAGATAAGTTGGGGTCCCCAGCTTATTGATTGTTGACAACTCTGGTAATAGGCAGGCTTAACACGCCAATCAGTTACTGTCGGGTCGATAGGCTTCTGGAGAGCATGCGTATACCAGCTCTTAGACAAGAGATTTCTTTGAAATCTATAGTATCGGTCCTTCTACGGACTTATATGCTAATATTTACACTATACATGGCGCTATAACTTGGCTAATTGTGAGAAAATCATGCCATCATGCAAAACAAAGCTCAGACGCGTCACTCGGACGCATCATTCGGACGGGCCATTCGGACAGACCACTCGAGCAAGCTGCTCAAAGAGGCCATGGTCTAGTTGTGCGCCCTCACAGAATGGTCCCCAATCGACTTAGATACTGATTACTAGAAACCAACTAAACATCTCCACAATTTCCGTAACTTGGAGAACTAGACGCAGATAAAGTGCCCTTTTTTTTATCCATATTGGGAGACCACTCAAAATAACCTTGCATCCATATGCCCGCGATGAATACTGGAACAGGATGGTCTATGCACATCATCTCTGAATATCGAGAGCTCCTCTCAATTTCTGTGGTGATAGAGATAGCCCTATGCGCGGTGATATCTCCAAGTAAATAGCACGTATAATACATCTTTACTAACACACTTCACAGACTTTGGGACATAATTTGTGGTCTGTTATATATAACGTCTACTTCAATCCACTGAGGAAGGTACCTGGACCTTTCTTGTGGTCAATATCGCCCATCCCACTCCTCTTGATGTCATGGTCTAGCACACCACATAAACGAATACTCGAACTGCATCAAAAATACGGAGACGTCGTCCGCACAAGCCCAAACTCAGTTTCATGTCTACATGCAACAGCATGGAAAGAAGTCTACGGGCATCGCAAGCCCGGTCAGTTGGAGAACCTCAAACACCCAGGTTTCGTAGCCGAAGTAGCCTCAGGCATCATCGCCGCTGACACAGAGTCTCATACGTACCAGCGCCATCTGCTAGCTCCAGCGTTTTCTGTACAGGGCATGCAGCGCCAGGAGCCTCTTATTCGCCGTCACGTCGACCGCCTCTTCAGCTGCCTTGAAGAGCATTGCTCCGAAGGGCGATCTCTTGATCTGGCCAAGTGGTTCAACTTCTTCTCTTTTGATGTGATTGGTGATCTCAGCTTCGGTGAATCTTTTGGGAATATGGAACGCAAAGAATTCCATCCGTGGATCGCGACGATCATGGAGTTTTTTGTTGCGCAGCACGACATGGCGCATTTTCGGCGGGCATACCCATTGCTAGAGGCGATGTTGGACCCGGTTGTCAAGGCTTTTGCTGCAAATATTATTGTGAAACATGATGTGTTTATGAGGACTCAGATCGAGAAGCGCTTGGCGCTTGAGCCCAGTCGAGAGGACTTCATTGATGTTATCAAACCCGACCATGCTCGAGGAAAACAAGTAAGTGAACACAAAATACTATTCTGAAACCGGAATCCGGTCAGGGAACTGATAATCTGGGTGATAGGGCCTTTCCCTTGAAGCAATATGCCATAATGCGAGCATCTTCGTCGTAGCCGGATCTGAAACGACTGCAATCGCGTATGGAGAACTCCTCTCATTCGTTCGGCTTAGTAAACAATGTTGAAACTAACCATAATCTTGACTAGACTCGCAGGGGCCACTTACCTACTCTGCAGCCACCCTAGGATACTCGCGAAGCTCAAAGAAGAGATTGACTCATCTTTCGATAGCGAAGAGAAGATCACACTCATGAGCGTGAAGCGACTCAAATATCTTGCAGCTGTCCTAGAAGAGACACTGCGTATCTACCCGGCTGCTGTAGGCTCTGTTCCACGACTAATTCAGCGGCATGGTGAGGTCGTCGGCGGGTATTTTCTGCCTGGTGGGGTAAGCCTCAATATTACTTTGATGTCCCCTTCTATGGAGAATTGAACACAGTACTGACTACTATTCACAAATCCTAGACAAACGTGGATATTTGGCATTGGGCAATGTATCATAACCCAGCCAACTTCACGGAGCCGGAGGTCTTCGCTCCTGAGCGTTGGCTTGGAGATCCTCGCTTCAAAGGTGATAAAAAAGCAGCATTCCAGCCCTTCTCAACAGGGAAACGTAACTGTATCGGCCAGAAGTAAGTCCCAATTCCCTTTCTTGTTCGCCTCGGATATCCATATGGGAAAGTTCACTGATTGAAAATGCATTGTCAGTTTGGCATATTCGGAGATAAAGCAAATAATGACTCGACTACTGTGGAAGTACAATGTCGAGCTTGTAGACCGCGAGTGGCTGGAGAGACCATGGCATGATCAGCGTGTGCGCGCTTCTTACGTGCATCCTCCGTTGAATGTTCGACTTACTCTCAGATCAGAGAAGTTGAAGTCGGGCTAGAATATCTGTGTTCGAAGATTGAGGTAAATGCTACTTAGGAACCCAGATAAATTCCGTTTTGAAATCAGGCATAAAATCCAAGAAATCTAAGGCTTCCACGTCTATGCTTTTCTTGACGATGTTGAACACCTCGGATATCGCAGCTCTTTTGCTAGAGATCCTTTATCAGGGCGTATGGAACGTTCAAAGATCTGAGCGTCTCTCTGCTTTCGCTCAAGACCTTCTCTGTCAATCTCTTGCCACGCTTTGAATACATAACATTTGGATATCTAGCATGGTTTTAGTGGAAGAGTGGATAGTTGAAGCGCATTGCCGTGGATTACTTACGGGCGTACCCCCCAGTCACTCAAGAAGCCTCCATGGCTTTCTCGACCTGCAACCACCACAGCATGTACATACGTGCTGGCCCCAGTTTCCAATCTTCTACTGAATAAGTAGAAGTAAACTGAGAGCAAACATCTCAGGACAAAGCTTGCGTTCAAGGAACGCCAAATTTCCGTACCTCCAACTAATCCCGGACATACCGTGTTGATAACTACCTCATCAGAGTTGACTAGCTCTGCCAGTCTTCTCACAAAAATCATTTGTAGCAACTTCTCGCGCGCATACCACTTCGTAACATCGTAAGCTTCATCAAACTGCGGTAAAATTGCTTTTTTGTGATCGAAATCTGCGAAATATGCGGTCGTTGATGTCACCACCGTGAGCCTGGCAGGTTTTCCTGCTAGACTTGCTTTGGATTTCAGTATCGGTAGAAGAAGTACGGCCAGCATGATCGTGGAGAGGTAGTTCACTTGGAAAGTCTGCTCCCTTCCTGTCTTGGCCGATAAGACATAGTCCTTGTTCTGCACGCCAGCGTTGAGAATGACCATGTCCAGCCTACCCAGATTCTGGCATTTTGTAGCGAATGCAGATACTGACTCAGGATCTTCCATATCTAAGATCCAGACCTCTATTTGAGCGTGCGGAAACTCCTTGCGAAGGGTTTCTGCCGCAAAGTTGCCTTTGGTCTCGGACCGGACTGCTAGAACAAGCCGAGAAAGGTTTAACTGGAGGAGTTGCCGTGCTGCTTCAAACCCCAGACCGGTGTTTGACCCGGTTATGATGGTTGTTTGGCCGTCAAGGTTGANGTCTGTTGCTATTGGAGGAGGGTGCATGCATACCTGGCGGTATATGAAGCCTATGCCGCTTTTGAAGATGAGGCGGCTGTAGATTTCGTCCCATGAAGACATTTCGACTGCGTTGAATTGAAACTGCGAGGTCCAATCTGATTCATCACTCGAGGAATTGACTATGAATTTAGTAAATTTGCCGGCACCGATGAACCCTGCACATGTGTCTAACCGTATTGAGCCATAAAATCTCATTACCTAGTTTTCGTAAACTCGCCAACCCAAGCCACCGAATTGCGGCCGCTGCAGATCGGAAGTCTCCGATACCTTGCAGTCGTAATGGAATTCCTAGGGCCATTAATTTGATAAGATTTACGGGTTAGTTAGTAGGAAGTCCGTGAATCGGATTCAGAGGCTTCCTAGACCGAGCTACAGCCACGGCCCACCTACTCAAGTGGGATATCTTTCACATCTAGATACTTCACCTCACAACACTCGAGCTTCAAATTTCTGAGCCGGTTGGTATCAATCATCGCTTCCATTTTCTCTAATCAGAGCACTAAGGAACTCATGCCTGCGCTGCTGGGCCTCCTACTTACAGGGCTAGCCCTCATCGCCAAATATGCATTCGAACCAATACTCGCCGGTCCACTTCTCGGCTTGATGTTGTACGCTCCAGAACAGACACGGAAAAGCGCATTGGATTCAACATCTCTCTCGAGTTTCATCGATATACGCAGTCTCATACGCATATTGGGGTTTCTAGTTGTCGTGGGTGTGATCAGGAAGGCCAACGCAGCTCTGAACTCATGGGCTACAAATAACTGGCAAATAAACGCAGGCCATGGTTGGGAGTGGCGCTCTGAAATCGCAGTTGTCACTGGAGGTTGCAGCGGGATTGGCAGAGCCATCGCAGAAGCTCTCACATTGCATGGTATCCGCGTAGCAGTGCTCGATGTGCAGAACGCGCCCGAGGCGTTCACATCCAACGCCCTGCTGACATGCTTCCGATGCGATATATCCAACCCGGTTGCAATAGTAGAAACAGCCGACAAAATCCGCAGCCATCTTGGATGTCCGTCGATTCTTGTGAACAACGCGGCAATCACGGGCTCTTACACGATCCTGAAGACCCCAAGCGACTTCCTCAGCCGCATCTTTGACACAAACATTCTCTCGCACTGGCGGCTAGTACAGCAATTTGTACCAGATATGGTGGCAAAGAACAAAGGCCACATCGTGACAGTGGCGAGCGTCAACTCTTTCCTAACAAACTCGGCCAATGCGGACTATGTGGCGACTAAAGCTGCGGCGCTGGCGTTCCATGAGGGCCTCACGAGTGAGTTGAAGATCTGGTATCATGCGCCGGGCGTTAAGACTTCAATTGTGCATCCAAGTTGGGTGCGCACGCCGTTAATTGAAGAGACGATATTAAAGGGTGGGCGGGACCCGAAAATCCTTGAGAGTATGCTGCTACCGGAGGAAGTGGCTGAGATTATTGTGAGGCAGATTGTTAGTAGGCGCGGTGCACAGGTTTTTGTTCCGAGTGCTGCGGCACCTATCTCATGGCTGAAGGGGCTACCAAATTGGATCCAGGAGCTTGTTAGGGACTGGTTTGGGAAGACGAGTGCTGTTACGGGTGCCACCATGATTGCGCACTAGACATAGGGCTCGGACGAGAATGTGTGTTATGATAGAAATGCTCAATTGGTTTTTTTGTTTTGCCGTAACATCTGTCATTGTGTGCCGCAAAACCCTGTGCGCCGAAAACGACCAATCGGATCTCAAGGATCATGGGTTTCTGTCTAGCCGTTGCGATCCAATTGGTCATTTTCGGCATACAAGGGGTTTTCGGCACACAGTTAAGGGCGTTAAGTTACGATTATTTAATTTACTCCGGAGGAATTAGTGTCGGGGACTGGCGGTGCA